CCACAAACACACGCCCCAAACACCATAAACCATGATGAAGTGGGTGTACGGCTTCCCCTTATTGGCGCTAGCGCTGGCTCTCGGCCACGAAAACGAAGGCGACGACATCGACTCCACCTCGCGCCTCCCCACCTCGGTATGGGTGACCACCACCATCGCCGGCGGCGGCCTTGCCACCATCCAAGTGCAATTCACGCAGACGTTTGCTCCTGTGGCATCGTCGGCGGCGGAAGTGCCGCTGGGAGAGATGGGCTTGGGCACGATTTCCGGCTCCGTCGGCGGCGACCGTATTTATGAGACCACCACCATTGGCGGCGCCGGAGCCGCCCTGGTGATGTGGGGCGGCGCCGCCATGGTCCTCGGCGGCCTCTTGCTTTAGATAGACAATGAAAAATACCAGGCTTTGAGCCTCATCAATAGCACAGATGTACTTTAATCCATGGATGACGAAACTTAGGATCTAGGCTTCAGTAGTTGTAGTAGCAGTGCCGTTGTGGTCACCGTTGGCCACGGCATCGCCATTAGCTTCAACTTTGACATCTGTCTCTTCAGATTTGACTTCAGAAGCACCCCCTTCTTCTTGTTCTTCTTTACCTTCAGTGGATGGCGTAGATTCTGGTTGAGGAGTAGGGGTGGGGTCAGGGTTTACCATCATTTCGGGACGGTTAATGGGTACGGTGAACCCAAGAGACAGTTTAAGCACGTCGGTGATGCGATCTCTCACTTCAGGGTAAGGGAACTGAGGCTCAGGTAATCTCGCCAATACCACTAGCCAGCGCATCAACGACAGCTTTGCGTATACGGCTTTGGGGAACTCAGGTGTAAGAAGCTTTTGAAGGTCATCCAACGCTGCTAACGCCGGTTGAGGGTCAATTTGGTACACTTTGGCGTCGTCTTCGCTCTTGACCGCGGGGTGCTCTAAGTCCACCACTTGTTTGAGTACTTCGGCGCTTACTTTATGGAATTGGTCGTTAGCACGGGCAATGCGAGCCAGAACTTCAGTGGCCAGGCCGATTTCGTCGTCAAATAACTGCTTTTGTTCAGCTTCATCGTCGAGGATATAGTCGCCATTAGTCTTATCGTAGACGAACAAGTCGTCAGTGCCCCAATCGTCATCGTAGCCAGGGAGTCTAGGGGTTTCTTCCTTCTTTGCAGTTTCCTTTTTGGTGGTTTCTTTCTTGGTGGGCAGTCTTTCCAGGCGTTTGCGGGGCGTCTTGGTGGTGGCGGCTCTCTTTCTCGGGGTACCTTCAGTAGTGGCGGGAGCTTTACGCTTTTTCGGACTGGGGTCAGTATCGGTAGCCATTTCAAGGATTTCGTCATCAAGTTCAGCGGTAGGGTCAGGCTGGAGCAGCAGGCCATACATGGCAAACAATTCCATCTCCGGCGGGTCCAACGCCATCGCAAACGCCGACTCAAGCATGTTATCTTTACGTCTCTTGCGCAGCGACGCGTCAAAGTGGTCTTGGATCATTTCCTGGCTCAAATGCTTCAAGTCGCTGGCGTGGATCCAGATATAAGTATCGTCGCTGAAAAACCGTACTGGTACCGCGGGGCCTTTCTTCTTCAGCGTTCTCGGCTTCAATTTGGCCACGTTGGCCGGGAGCACTTCCTCACTGAGTACCATGGCAGGCCAGGAAGGATAGCCTTTTACTTTAGCAAGCACCACGTCTCGCGGCGCAAACGGCGACTCGGGGGCTTCCTGGGGCTCTGAGGCGTCAGGAGCTTGTTCGGTTTGTTCTTCACCGGCTTGAATTTCATTATTAGGGTCATTGCTTTCAGGGGCGGCGTCGCCACTAGCGGAAACTGAGGTGTCAACAGTATCGCCGCCCTGGTCAATTTTCGAGTCCTTGGAGTCAATCACTGGATTAGCAGTAGCATCAATGGCATCGCTAGTGGTAGTCACACTGGTAGCCGGGACTTCGTCGGAGGACATGGGACGATGGTGTGGGAAACGATTGGGTGGCAATGGGGTTAGCGTGAGACGGTGAGACCCGAGCGCCGCGCTACGTTAACAATGGCCAACGTGGGCAGGGTAACAAAAAGCGAAAGTCGTGGATTGGGCTATTGAGTCGATTTAAAAGTTACTACAAGTTCAAAATTTGAATTTAATTGATGGCGATCCCGTGAATTGCTGTCGTTTAGTACACGTAGACGACGGTGCGATGTCCCCCATGGGGGCACCCAAATGAGCCACAATGACGACGACAACTTCGAATTTGATGATTGAATTGCAAACTTTAGGTTCAAAGTGGCTGAAACAAGTTAATTTTTCAATTAAGTGTCTGTGGAAATATTCGTTTAAAGAGCCTTGTCTTCCCCTCGTCTACGCGCATCGTTACAATAAAGAGAGACAATTGTTGTGATCAATAGAGGTCGATATTGGTTTCAAGGTGCATGGTATTATTATGTGTGTCATATCTCGTTACTCATCACTCAAGGTCACTGGGCTTAGTCGTCGTGTGAGCTTGCTCCGGTTTAGTCAACTCAGTAGCTTCAGGCTCGTTAACCGGAGCCGCAGCAGTAGCTTTAGCGAAACTGTCCATGATCGGGGCATCCACTTCCGGAGCCAGCGTCACGTCCGTCGGGTGTGCTTTATCCTTGATCCACCCATCTTTTAACAGACCAACAAACTCCGATACGTCGGCTAATAAACCCGTGGGACCGGAAGCGAAAAACAGTTTCCCTTCTTTAGCATTGATCCACTGTTGGTGGTCGATATCTTCGTCCTCACTAGCAATCAGCATCCGGTCGATCTCGTCGTTCTCTTTGGCAATGACATCACGCGAAAGCATCGGCGTCAACATCCGCGAGAACCCAGAGCCCTCCATATCGATATCTTTATCGTCATCGTCATCACCGGCTTCGTCCTCAGTGACAGATTCAATGTCAGTCTCTTCGGGTAAGTCGACCATTCCAAAGTGTTCTGATACCACGTGATCAATCACTGGCCACCCATAGGCGTTGGCAAAACGACGTCTGACCACGATATTATTATGGGCATCGGGCTTAAGCTTAACAATCACTTTCCGCCACAGCATGTTGCGGTGGTACTCTCGAGCAATGGCTTCTTCAACGTCATCCAAGTTGAAATCAACTTTATCCAAGATCTTTTGCATTTCCCGTTTCGCCAGCTCGATATAGCCACTCTCCCCCTTTTTCGATGACGCCAGTGATTGATTATCATCATCATCGTCATTGTGTACGGGAGGTAAATCGGCTTCGCCATAGACTCGGTCATGGAGGATAGGATTATCCCGGTAATCAGGGTCATTAATGTACCTCATGGACGGTAAAGGTGGAAGTAAAACGTTAGGAAACGATTCGATGATCGACAGAGTGGGGATGCCTTCGATCTCTGCTCCTGACTGGTTCTCCACTTTAGTTTTTATGCCATTATCTGCTTCCACTTGGGGACCCGAACGAGGCTCCGACAGCGCCTTTTGCGGCATTAAATACGAAATGATCAGTTGCATGGAGAACGTACCCGATGCCGAATTTGGGTTACTGGGTACTTTAGCGATTTCGTAGCCATTAGCGCCGCTTTCCTCTTCGGGACGAGCCTCGGTCTCGTTATGGTTATAAAGCTCGACAAGCTCATCGTAGTCCAAATATAAGAGTGCCAGGGTTCTTAAAGGGACAATGCCATCGTTAATTGCATTGGCATACACGGTACGCCGCACAAACCGTTTAAGCACTTGGTGAGTAGGACCACCAGGTAAAAGAAGTAAAAGTGGTTTGTTATCGTATTCCACTTGTTTCAAACCCAAATCCTGACCGGTTTTACCCACCACGCCCGCATTAAGCGCCAAATTAACGTATATGGGGTTCTCATTGGCCACCCCTAAGAGTGGCAGGGCAATGGTAACGAAATTTATCGGGGTGATCTTCTCAAAAAACCACGGAAAATTGGTATGAAGATAAGCAATGGCAAACGTCTGTACTAAACCACCGAGAGAGTGGCCGACAAATGAGATTTTCGCCACTTTATTATCCATGAACATCAGATTAGTGGTCACCAAATCGATGATATACTCGGCCACTCGACTTCCCAAGTACTTAATCCCTCTCTCCGTCTTACCAACATTACCAAAATATGCTTTAACACAAAGATTATCATTTTTTCTCACGGTGTCGATCTGTTCCTTTAAATACATCAAATCCGCCGATGCCGTCAGATGGAGACCGTGGGTCAAGATGACTAAGTGGATGGGACGTGTAGGGTCAGGCAACGGTAAGTTCCACAAGTCTAGCGAGTTGTTGTGGACGACATGGAGCACATTCTTCTCGCCCAAATGGCCCCTTTCTTTAGACGACTCATCCTTAAGCGCCTCCTTGGACGTGCCAATCGAGATCTCCATATCAATCAGCACTGCGGGATTAAACAAGATCTGACTGACGACGTCCACCGTCCACCCGTAGCGCGGTTTCATGATATGGCAACTTAGCTCGCAGTAAAACAGCTGGCCCGGCAACAACTGGGGCTCAAACACGGGCTGGTCGGCGGTGATGAAACACTTGTGTCTGGGGTCGTATCCGTCCTGGCGGCAATCGACATAGAGCACGTAGGGTCCCGTGAGGTAGGCGGCTCGTAAAGCGATCAGCTGGGTGTTCTTCACCTTGAGCCATAGCAGGGGAGCGGGGAACGTTCCCGGAGTGTAATTGATGCGGAATCGCTCGTAGCCGCCCGCTTTCACCGTCTGGACCTCCCGGTATAGCACTTGCGGCTCCATGGCAACCGACTAGGAAATTGTATGCGACTGGTCTCTAGCGGTGGACAAGCAACCTGATTTGGCGTGCGGCGATGTACAAACGTGACACAAACCTGGTGTTTGTAATTCAGGGAATTAAAAGGCAGTGGTGTGGTTTTTGGAGATTGTTGGTGGGTGGGAACGCAAAAAGTTTACGGGGTGTTCGGGTCTGTGATTGACATGTGATTGACGGGCTCCAACGGTTGGCGCGACGGAAGAGAAAAAAGAAACTCCGGTACGGGGAATCGAACCCCGGTCGCGGCATGGAGAGTGCTGAGTGATAACCACTACACTATACCGGATTCTGGAATTGTGGTTACACAAAGTGGCTCAGGTTCAACAAGGTTAAGGCCACAAAAATCGACAAACTCCCTCAATTTTGGATCAATTGTGCATTTTCGTGTACGTCGTGTATTCATTAAATCGTAATTTGGTTTTGGTAGCGTTTCACGCACCGGTCGCTGCAGAATTGGAAGCGAATGGGGATGTTCCGTTGTTGTAAAATGTCCCACCATTCATATACCAGCGCCATTGGGTCGACAATAAGCACCTCACATTGGCTACACCGGTCCTGGTAGTGTCCACACCATATCGCCCGCGAGATAAGCTCGTGGTACATTGGGTCCATCGCCCGTTTCCAGTCTTTAGTATCAGCGTACAGAGCATCAAACTGAGCCAAATGGTGGAGGCACCACGTTTGAAGCAGCGGCACTGGCGTTTGCGGGCGATGGTATTCGATTTCCCCTCGATACCGGCGACAAAAAGTTGGTTTCTCAGCCGGTAAGGGGACTTCAGTAGCCGTCTCGGGGACAGGTAACCACGGATTAGGACCGGAGCCAAATTGCTTGAGATTCGGGGCAAGGTGAAGAAATTGCCAGGGAAGCCATTTGATACGGTTGGCAGCAAGGTTCAAGTCCGTCAAATGAGTCAATTCGCCGATTAATGGCGGGATCGTCTCGATCTTATTATGGCGTAGACCCAACACTTCAATCTTCCTAAACTGAAACAACAGCGGCTGTAAGGAACGAAGCTGGTTATTACTGGCATAAACTTGGAAATGTGCATGCGAGCCAATCACGACAAGGTCCTCCATGTCGGCAATCTCGTCGGGGATATCCGTAAGCTCCATCCCTTCTAGATCCAATAGAGGGTTACACTCTTCGAACGCGGTCATAATTCTCTGGCGGGCTTTATCCAAGCTGATCTGTGACAGGTGAGGGTCGACTTCTGAAGTGGGAGCCTCCTCAAGCGGCTTATACCGGTTGAATCGATCAATACCGAAATCGGCATCCAGCGACGGCATCATCGCTCGCAGCGGCGGCCGCGGTCGCAGCAGTACGGGGTCATGATGGTCAGGCAGAGTAGGCGGGAAATTGAAGTGTTGGCTAGTGAATTCGTCATATTCCAGCGCCAATACGGGAGGACTTGAGGGAGGGTAGATTGTATCGGGGGTTTCCACATCGTCTGACGGCGGCACTTCAGCTAAGTTTTGCCGCTTATGATTATCGTGTTCACTGTAACTGGTAAGCTTTCTCTTGAGTCGAGGAACCGCCGCCACCAGCAGTGGCAACGGTACTCTCTTTGGCGGTATTCCAATTTGCGAGTTCCGGGCCAGATCCGGGGTCCGGGTATGGAAACTGGAGCTTGCGTTGGCATCAATCACTTCTCGTGGTCTTGGCGAAGTGTCGTAGGCGATGGAGGCCTCATCGCCACCCTTGGTGTAGGCAAAGGGAAGCAAGGGCGTGTCCTTGTTCATCAATCCTGGTGGGCTACCGAAAAAGCGAGCGCCCCGATAGGCGACGCGTCGTGCGATAAATTAGGAAATCATGAGAAGAGGGGATCAAGAAATAGGGGAACATAACCACATAGTAAATGAAGTTGAAGGTAAATTGACAGCGAAGTGATGATGAGGTATATTTTTCAAATTAGTGTTGTCCATTGGTTACTAGATTTAATTAATTGGGGATTGAAGCTAGAGAGGGAGGAGACGCGTATAACTCGTAAAAAAGACTCATGTAGAAGGGGAAAAGACTACGCTAAATGATTTTGCATTTGCACGTTTGAAGGGATTATTTCTGATTGTAGACATTGAGATTTCGTGTCGGTTAAGTTGTTATTGTTTTAGTTGAGACTTCATTTAATTTAATGAAATTTTTCATAAAACGGTGGCCTTCTTCAAGTTGATGATCTGATTGTGTATGGGGACGAATTTCTGGTGAAACATAGATTATAGCAATCCAACCTAAGCTTCTCAATTCCGATTTGGGACTAACGGAATTGTCGATTTAAAGCACGCACCCCTTGAGGTTCCCTGCCATGCACTGGCCCCTAACTCTCCCCTTAGCTCGCCAACGCACTGCGGTGTCAACACGAAAAATGACAGAAAACGTTCGAGATGTCTACCTTAGCGGCAATTACTGCTCACTGTCAACCAGCTGAGCTTTCAATTGACCTCAAACCCATTGGAAACTCCCGTGTTCTGCTTCCTCTAGGCTAAATTGGTGGATAGGCGGCATTGGGGGTGCCTAAACAATAGCCACTAGTTGCGATCCAACACGAGATTTATCTCCAATACGAAATCACGTGTATCGAAAGCCGTGGAAGATGATCGAAGGTATTAACGATTTCAGGACTAAGACCAATAATAGTCTAGTTCATGTGAGGTTACAAGATCGGTTTAGTGATGTTTAGAACAATGTACGGGCGTCACAAACTGCACCAGCTGTTTCAGCTGGTTATAAAGCGACGTAATAGACCTTCACTTCCTTAACGCTGTTAGTGTTCAATTTATTGCAACTCATCAGTGTGGCGACGGCGTTGGTGATCCCCAGTGCACCGCTTGATCTTTCATCATTAGATAAGCGAGCTAACGATGGCATCGTATCCATTCCCGTCACCCAGAATGATTTTGTCTATTCTATAGATGTAAAAGTTGGTTCTCGGGGGAAACTGTTTACGCCATTGGCAGATATCAAAATCTACTACCTTAGTCAATACCACTCAACCGTTCTACGTGGCTTAAGTCGGTACAGCTGAAGATTACGATAGCAATGTTGACAGTTTCAAATTTGGGTATATCGACAACCCCAAAACTGCCAGATCATAGGTCTTTCCCGGTGGGAAGGAGACCATCCGGGTTTTCCTGACTCTATTAGACGCTACGATAATTTAAAAACAAGGGACCATCGATCATGGCATTGCCTCATTATACTACAATGCTATTAGCCGAGTGTTTGGTGACTATGACCAAGCGAAAGTGGGGTCACCGTGGAGTGTCCAAAAGGATCCTACCACTTATAAAGTGCCCCTCACTAATGTCACCGTGGGAGGAGTCACCCATAAACATGAAAGTGGAGACGACCCGATTGTCGTCGATACTGGCGGCAGCTCGTATCTCCCCGATGACATTCTTGACCCGATTGCTTCCTTATACACTAATAGTCACAGGGAAAGTAATATGTGGACCGTTGATTGTAAAGTCCGCGACATGCTGTTCCAGCTAGGGTTTGGTGATTTGGTTTTAAATATCTCGTTGAGGGACTTCCTTTTCCCTCACGGTCCGGGCCATAAACGGTGTCAATTGGCTGCGTTCTCGTCGGAGAAGACGAATAATCTTACACTGTGGGGCTATTTTAAACCATGTGGTGACCATCTTCGACTACGATAATGGGGTGATCAATGTGGCTAACTTTAAGGATACTCGGGAAGAAAATATCGTCAAACCCGAGTAAATTGATAAGATCATTTGGAATCTGGAATTGCAAGTTTCGGATCAATTTCGTATGAGGGGAACATATGCACGCTATATTTGGCAGCCACGGGTGGATAATTGAATGGCATTAGTTCTGAACAATGGTTCCTTAATCAGAGGGGTATCATTTATCAAACAACGGCGTTTTCATCGTATCTTAGACTCGATGGTAAAGTGCCGTGTCGTGATTTAATTGGCGCTTCTGGTATACCCCAAAAACTAGAAACGTCTTGAAGAAATTTTGATTAATTGATCAATCTGAGTCGTAAGTAGATCCTCATTGTAGCTGTAGTTCCATCGCTTTGATGATTTCAGTGTTTGCTAACCGATTTTTCGCTTAAACCCCCTATTCGCTTGTAGTTAGCCTATGGAGCTACGAAACCGCTAACGTTAGGTGACAGCGACAGCCGCCCACGCCCACGGGGTTACGGCACTTTTTGACACCTGCCAAGGCATTCAGGGAGAACAACGCCGAGGCATTCAAGGAAGGGTATCGCCGTGCCGGATATAGCAAGCCCGCTAGGTCTATCCCCGATGCCGCGGAGCGGCAACAGTCGCGTCGCTTGGGTGGTGTCTACCTGTACCGCCTCGCGCAGCCCAAAAGAAAACCTTTGAAAATGAAAAACGGGCCAACATTAATGGTTTTTCTTCAATCAAAAACAAGACCTACATACCTTAGACACTAAAGATGGATTTAATATGGTTTTTCAAGTATTTTCGATGAGTTTTGGCGTTGATTTGTGAGAATATGATGGTAGTTTGTTGACTCGCACTGGTGGTAACCTGACTCGTGCTACAGGCGGACATTCACCTCCGCCGCCAAATGCCGAAGCCGCCAAACAAACACGCGGCAAACGATGGCGCTTAAAGTGCCGTTGACAGGTCACTACAGAGCCGCCAACAGCAACGGCACCGGTGGTAATGCCGTGTAAGTTTACCACGAAAGCCGTGTACTTTTACTACAAAAGCCGTTTGTTGGCGGGGTTTTGCCACACACACGGCGATGTCCGACGCCGTTTTGCCGTTAGCCGTACTCGTAGAAGGCGCAACCGCCTAAGCCGTGCTGGGTTTCCACCATGTATGGAATGCCGTAAACGAGATTTCTAGATGTTTGGTATACTTGCCGATGCTCTCTCATCGTGAGGGAGAGCGATGGCGATGAGATGACGTCAGCGAGACGCCCGAGGTAACGAGGTTTGATGAGAACTAATAATAGATATTGCCAACAAAACCGTTAGGCGGTGAATGACCATGTTGGTTAAGGCCATTACTCGATTGAAATTTTAGAAAAGTTGTGAGTTAGCTTTTGTAACTTTTCAATGCTGAATTATCAGCCGTATTGCAAGATTCAGCGATCAAGAAGGAGCCAGAGCCACTCACTCAAATTTAAACACTCAACACCTCAAATCAAGTGGTTTCATTACCGGTTTGACCATTTGCTTCAATACTGTACTAGCTCTCGCACTTGGGGTCATGGCCGCTCATGGTGCGACCGTACGTGCCCAAATGTCAAAGCTGCCGCCGTCTCCGGATTAAAGTAAGTGGTATATCACAGGTTTTGTGATTTGTGATAGATTGACTAACATCAGTGTGACTTGAAATGGCCGTGTGAATACTGTGCTTCTCGCAATCGGGAGTGTGTCTACCCCGATTCGCCACCCTCGACGAAATCAACACAACAGGATCCAAGCAGTTCAAATCCTGATACAAGTGAACTGATAGAGGATGACCAACTACCGGATGATGTGCTTGAGCTAATTGAGTCGATAAATGATCAAAATGGTGAGCAATTACAGGATGGCATTGCGTTCCCTCAAACCCTCCAGAGTTGTTCGGGAGGAGAGTTATTATACATTGACTATGACGACTCTTTATCCCAGGATAGAGCTCTATATGATGATTCAGTGCTTATATCAAACCTTGCCCTAGTATCTGAGTCACTGTTGTGGAATAAGATCCAGACGCTATTCCCTCATAAACCAAACATGTCACCGATGGAAGTGTGGATTCTACAGTTTATGGTCGACTGGAGTATACGCCACTATGCCTCCAGCCGTGATACTCGACAGATACAGATGTGGGACGACGTCAAGGAGACGCTATACGCGACGCTGGAGTTGATCCAGCTGGGGATGTATGCGTTTCTGGGTTTGATGCTATTGGGGAATCATAACCGTCGCTACTTATTAGGGGATACGCCTATTGATGATGGCCTGGAGTTGTCAATTGCTAAAGTGTATGATTTTGCCATGAACCTGTACAGCTACTTATTACTGGCGATAAGTCGTCAGATGGACAGAGTGCTCACTAATAGTTGTACAATCATGGAAGCAAAAGTGCTTATAACGTCGCTATCGTTTTTGTTCGCTGTTTTGGGCAGTTTACCTTCGGGTACTTGCCCTTTAATTGATTTCAATAGAGGCGGTAATGACTTTATTGCCTATAATATTGGCTACCGCAAGACTTATGAGGCGTTACTCCCACTATTACGGAACCTGCCGTTTGAAAATAAACACGGCTTGAGTGTGACCATTTATGATGGAAATGCCGTATCAATTCTGTTTTTCACTCGAATATTGGAGTATATTGACACCCATACTGATGAGTTAGGCACTTCAGAAGATGTGGAAATCATCAGACACGCGTTCGATGTGTTTGATAAACAGGTATACCGCACTATCGTCACGTTCACTCCCCTTGGCTACTACCATATATTTGTCGACATGACGGATGAGTTCTGGGACTTGGTGTATGCGCAGAATCCGCTTGCTCTAAGCTGGCTTAATGTATTGGCTGCCTACGCTCTTGTGTATAAGCTCTACTTCATTCGGGATAACAATATTTGGGTGGATTATATGAACTGGTATCGCGAGTGGTACGGTCACAAGTACTTTTGGGATGAGCCCGTATACCAAGCGGTGGTTGAACAAGGTTACTGTGTAAGTGACTATTCGTTGCTACAATTCTTCAACCCCCTCGAATGTGCCACGATTGACGAAATCTCATGACAACAACTGGATATTTTTCGAAACTCACTGACCAGACTCGCTTAAAACCAAGTGAAGTTATCCCCTAGGTACTCTAATGACAAAAATCACTTTAATCTAGATATCCTGGTAGTTGTAGACACGAATTCCCTAAGAACACATCGGTGTAGAGTTCACACCCATCAAATGACACCCATCAAATGGTTTGACACCCGAATTTTTTTTGAAGTGATACAATAAAACAAGTAAACAATTTCACTCAAAACAATCGAGGTCCTTTCGCTCATTTGTGACTGTCTCGCTCCGCTTACTTTCCTTTGGTCTCCCCTCTTTTGTTAGTGCGACGCGTAAATCAGCACTAACGCGTATGGCTGAAGAGGAAGAAGATACGCTTGGCCTCGATACGCCCATCCAGAAGGCCCGGGCCAAAGTCGCCCGTATCGACAACGACCGACTATTCAACCCGGTGCTGGGGTTACCGTATATCGTCAAGAATTACCCCAAATTGGTCAAGCTGATCGAACACAACGACCGCAAGTTCAGAGGGTCGAAATACCAGCGGGAACACGAGAACTTGGGCAAAATCTTATCGTTCTACCACTTGTGGGCCCACGGGATGTTCCCCAAAGCGACGTTCAGGGACTGTATCAAGCTTACACGTCGTTTTGGTGACCGTCTGACTCGAGTGAAATTGTGGCGCCGTTCGCTTATTGAAGCGGAAATCAATAAGTTAAAGGTGAAACAAGGGTTGATTACTGAAGAGGATGCTCAGGAAAACCTTAGAGAGTTCTCGGTGGTGGTGAATAACGAGGAAAACGCCCTGGAGGCAGTCTCGGCTACCATTGACGACGAAGACGATTACGTGGCTCCCATGGATTTCTCGTTTATGGAACTGTCCTTATTTGTTGGTGCTGAAGGTGAAACTAACAATGACGACGTGCCCCTGCCACTGGAACTGCCATCGGCTGAGAAACGGTCTACTTCTTTACCTACACCTCCCGCCGCACCCGAACCTATTGAGGCAGAGGAAGAGGAAATCCCTAGTGACATTGAACGCCAAGCAATGGAAGAAGCCAACAACAACAACGACGACGACGACGATGACCCCTTTAGCGACGACGACGCCGATATCCTCGCCGCCGCCTCCCTAGCATGACCCACAATATATATATATGATTCCATTCTCTTCGATCTTGATCTCTCACGTGACATGCGCTTACGCAGGCTGCGATTGCGAATTTATCAGTGGTGATGTTGCCCCACACAATCAAACGCCACCATCATTTATCTCGATGAATTTCGATGTCGACTACCAAGTTGATGGTTTCCCCTATACAGATAAGGCGTATTTCCCCCAGTATGTGCTTGAAAGACTCGTGGAGCTGATCCCTGAGGCGGAGCTCCCTCACCCGCTCATATTCAAAGGTGCGGTCCTGGGGGTTCATATGGGCGTGAAAGAGTTTCGGGAGGGGTCTGAACTGATAGTGGGTGTCAGCCAACAACTATACGACCGGTTAAAAGTGGAAAGTGAAACGGTACAGCTCGTTCTGCCGCCGAAAGCTACCCATATTAAGCTCAAACCGAAACTCGCTTACGATATCTTCAATTACAAGTTCTTTTTGGAAGCAGTGCTTCCCAAATACTATACTACGGTGACTGCAGGGCAGACTCTTGTGGTGGAACACCAGGGACTTCGCTATGAGCTCGCAGTGGAGGAAGTTAATAACTCGATGGACCCGAAGACCTATTCCATTGTTGACGCTGATATTGAATTGGAAATCAATGATGGTGGCCGCAGTGCTGAATTAAAAGACCCTGTGGATTTGGAATTGGGAGTGACAGTGACAGTGGACGATGCTGCCGTTAATGACTCTAATTTTGTCCCTACCATATATAAAGTGGCCGTGGATGGGCCAGTGGTGGTATCGGTGGATGGTGGTGATGTTATCGTTGCCGAAACACCATTCTTAAACATGGAACGGTTCCAGTGGACGACGATGGACCAGGAAACTACTAAGGAAGTGGTGGTGGTACCTGAGGGGAAACGAGATATTTACGTGGTGGCATTCAAATGGACACAAGGATCAGTAACGCTAAAAGTTACGCCAGTAACCACTACTACAACTGAAACTGAAACCATAGAGGCAGCTGTTGATGACGACTCTTCCATTTGCCCCTCATGTGGCCGTGCTATCCCTAGTGCTCTGTTTGCGCTTCACGTGGCTAGATGTCAACGGATGAATCAAAAGTGTGCTGACTGCGGCCAACCAAAGGTTCAGGGTACTCCTCACTACCACTGTATTCAGTGTAAAGTGGCCCTGCTGGATCCTCTGTTTGAATACCGCCACCATAAGCTTTTCCATGAAACAAACTATACGTGTGAGTGTCCTAACCACCCCAGTTTCTCCAATTACATTGAACTCGCCCAGCACCGAGCCACTGAATGTTCTTTAAAGCCAGTTCTTTGTCAGTTTTGTCACCTTGTTGTCCCTCAAGAAGAGCTGGACTACCATGACCGTTATTTGGGGATCACTCACCATGAAAATGAGTGTGGCAATAAGACTACCGAGTGCTACCAGTGCCAAAAAGTGGTCAGGGTCAAGGATTTAGCCAACCATTTACAGATGCACGAGCTTAACAAACGACAACGGGTGGTTCCCATAATCACCAAATGCTCAAACCGTCTCTGTGTCAATGCCTCCGACCCGCAGCTGAATCTGGTCGGTCTCTGTGGCCACTGCTTTGGTCCCCTTTATACCTCGGTACACGATCCTACGGGGGCCAAATTAGCTAGCCGTATGGAACGTCGGTATATCCTTCAAATGTCGAAAGGATGTGGCTGGCTCCAGTGTCCTAACCAGTATTGTCGAACTGGGAAACCCATGGGAGAAAACTTACGCATATTCAGGGAAGAGTTGAAGCCACAAATCCCTCGTGATTTCTGGTACTGTGTCGATGAACTGATGGACCATAAACGCCGGCTTGTTGAGTCGTTACTGGAGGTATATCCTCCCGAAAGTGTTCTTGAAGCTGCCCAACAGTCATCGCCAATGGAAGAATGGCTCGAACGTCATGCTATCAAAGTGTAGCCCAGCATTAGCATATAGAATTATAGAATATATTCATTACACTCAATTACAAGATTTACCACGCCACGCATTTGTCCATCCCAAAAGGGAACGATCACTACTAAGATGGGATCTCGACCTAGTTACACAAAACGCAGCCGAACACCTCTAGCCGCGTGTATGTCTCGTCGCTTAAGGAAAACCGTTATTGCGTCAAATTTAGTAGTAAACATTCACATTCAAAAGGTATACATCGTTATATAGAATTTTTCATTTGCCGAGGTGCAGACCCATAAAGTCCATAATTACAGCAACATGATTAATCTTGACGACTCAACTAAGCCAGAGGGGCAGCCAGGGGAGCAGCCGCGGCAGCGTTGGCGGCATCGTCAATGGCGTTGGCTTCGTCATCGGGGACAGTGATCGCAGTGTTGGTTTCCACGGCAAACGAGGCATCGTCGATGAGCTTGTTGGCGTCATCCTCAGTCACGGCGTAGGCAGAGTCAGAGCCACAGCCACAGGGGGAGTAGTTGTCGGGGAACGCGTAGTAGTACAGCGACCCCGAGCTGCTCTTGATGATGGTGATCTTCTTGTGGTACCAGGTGTTGTAAGACCCACCGAAGCCACCAAAGATACCCGGGAAGCCACCCCAGAAGTTCTCGGGGAAACCCCAGCTCCAAGAGCCTTGACCGTTGCCACCGTAGCCGCCACCAATACCACCACCAATGGCAGCACCACCACCGAGAAGCCCGTTGAGGAGACCAGTGATCAAACCGAGAGTGGCTTCGCCTTCAGCTTGGGGAGCAGCAACGGGGGCCGAGGCCACACCAGCGGCAGCAGCGGCCACAGTAATAGCAGTAGTGAACTTCATATTTGGTTAGTAGAGGAGGATGATAATGAGAAAAACTCAAGTGGATTCAGTGGGCTTTTTATAGTCGAATTTCAGCTACCGCAAACCCAGACTCGTGGGCGTGTGTGCTCGGAATATTTTGTCTGCGTGTACGCTGCAAGTCATCAGGGCGATGCACCGACATCTGACAGATGAAATGATGCATGATTGCGAAAAAATATGTGCTGACCGATAGCCGTGGTGATGACTCGCAAACAGCGTATTGGAAGAAGCTTTTAGGCTTGAACAAATGCCTAATCGGCTCCTGATGGGTTGCTGTCGCTTATAGTTGTGGCGCCGGTTATTAATTAGACCTAATTGAGAATTGTACATAGTCGCAGCCACACTGACGAGACAACGAAATGGTGTATGAAAATATACGTGATAAAAGACCTGGCTGAAGATTTAAGCATGCTAAGTTAAAACAGATATCATGTATTTACTAAGTCAATTATAACAGTGGTCATGACTTCCAGGCCCTTGAAACCTGGTGTAATCAAGCACTTGATAAAAACTAGTGAGCTTAGGTGGAAGAAGGTTCAGCCGCGGGAGCGTCAACGGGAGCGCTGGAAGCATCATCAATGGGTTGAGCAGTGACCGAGGTGTTAGTTTCCACGGCGTAAGCAGCATCGTCGATAAGCTTGTTGGCGTCATCCTCAGACACGGCGTAGGCAGCGTCGTAGTAGCACCCACAGGGGGTGTAGTAATCGGGGAAGGTGTAGTAATGGTTGTTGTAGTAGTGGTCCTTGATCACGGTCACCTTCTTTCTGTAGTAGTACGACGACTGGCCGCCCCAGCCCCAGCCGCCCCGGCCGCCGAAGAGGCCACCAAGGAGACCCGAGAGCAACCCGAGAGTGGCTTCACCTTCGGCTTGGGCAACGGGAGCAGCAACGGGAGCAGCAGCAACACCAGCAACGGCGGCGCCAGCGGTCAAAACGGTAGTGAACTTCATTAGATAATCGGGTAGGTAGTTGATAGAAGACTTCAATAATTGAAGAGAAAACCCCTTTATATAGTGAGAACTCCAGGCCTTGGCGACTTTTTCGAGACGTTTACGATAGAGGCGTCACGCCAGTCGTCTGAACCTTGTCCTGCCATGTTATTTTGCATGTGGGATGGTAGTAGGATTTTGTAGAAGAAGAAGAATTTCACAATGAAGTTTTTGGTGGTTCATTTGGTGACATGAGGTTTGAGATATCTTTCGCAATGATTTACTTAGCAGGAGCTTAGTGCTATCGTCACTACCTTCACAATACACTTGCTAGTCTCCCCGTTAGACCTCGTTAGACAATGCACGCCCCCCTTGTGCTTTGCGTTATTTCATGCACCAAAGTTCATATGCCTAGCACCGCCACAAGTTGCCAGACGCATTTGGGCTGCTTGGTTTTGGGGCTACCATACACATACGTGGCGCGACTCTCGCCCTCTCAAATGAGGAAGTCATTCATGTGAAAGAGAAGGAAAACAGTCAGAGCAGTAATCCAACGACTGTGAAGGTTAGTCTTAGACTTCTAAGTACAATAACTTAGTGATGGTCATATCTTTCTTCGTAGTTTGCTTATTAGCTTGGACCAACCTAAAATGAATGTTTTTTCGAGGCGGCGGTGGTTTTGTCACATTAAGGAATGAACCTCGCCAAATATGGGTGGACTCGGCCCGAACACAAGGAGACTTTATACTTGTCCCGAGGATATGCTTTTTGAATAGCATGATCGACCATTACGCTGTTTCAAACAGCTATTGTGTAAACCGTTAAATTAACTGGTATGAGCTGTTGCATGCTCCCAACAGCAATAGACGGGAGCGCTAAAAGTTACATTCGCGTACATCTATACGTAGATGAGACGCGATAAACGATCAAGGGGGTTACTGCACCTTGATCAAAAACATACACTTTTTCGCTCGATTAGTTTTGGTGAAGGCTTCACTTCGCATTAGCAACAAAAAATAAGGTTGCAGCAGTTAAGGTTGATTAAATGCGTATTTCATTTGTGGCCCGACAACCACAACCTGGTAGTGGTAATGTTTTGGGTTGAAAAGCACAGCCCAATTATATTTGTGGCAATACGTAAACGTTGGTCACGTTTGCTCTTCCCTCATTTGTCCGAAAGCGTAACTAATTGGTTGCATAACAAGAAAACGTCGATGCTTTGTCTAATATAGAGGTATTCTATCCTAAAGAGGTGTAACATAAACAGTTTCCGTTGACGTGAAACGAAAATAGGGTACATCATTACCTATCAACTCGAAGCGCTAAACTCTTTGTGGAGAAAATCGGGTTTGGACGTGTAACGGATGCTTAAACCTCATAAGAATTGCCATTGTAGCTCAATTACAGTGACTACATTTTTTTGTAATACTTTATTCTGTCAGAGCAATCAAATATGGTGTCGTTGGTTGAGTACCTCAAATAACAGAGGGCTGATCATAAACCTTAAACCATCAATCCTCGGATGAAAGACATTGTCGCTAGATCAGATTGATTGTTTCAAATTGACGGAAACAGCATTCGAAAGTCTACCTTGGGCGTCGCCACTCTGTTGATAACTATTGATTCTCAAAATGCTTGCTTCCAGTCGGAATGGGAATAATTAAAGAGAGTTGCTTTCGTGATGGTTTCATCGTCGGCAGTGAAAGCAGTCTTAAGCTAGACACCTTTCACCAAACCCCCATTGCAACAGTTGAATGTTTGAAAGCTGCAAACATGGGTGAGTATGTGTCGTTAGTACGAGCAGATTGGCGATGGCTTTTCCTAAAACATATAAGCATTTACAAATACAAGAACTTGCAACGCTCAAATGGACAATACCAACAAGACCATGAAACAGAATTTCTTTATACATTCTTCAGGTTTATCAAAAAAGAAGATGTCATTTGTTGGGGCTACTTAGATTGCAGTTGTAGCGCCTGGTCATATTAATTTTAGGTGCGCAATCCTTTAACCAAAGGATATTACGAACAAGTAAAAACAGTTACGGCACACAATGAAAAGTTAATTCCTACGATGGTAAGACTTTTCAAGGATAGAGTCTCAAATAAAGCAAAAAAGAATCGTCAGCTACAGGATTCGAACCTATGCGCTCAGAGAGCATGTGATGGTTAGAACGAGATTCTAATCACACTCCTTAACCAACTCGGACAAACTGACGAATGTGGAATTTTGTGATTTGCACTATAATATGTTAGCCATGTTGAAAATGGAATACAAAACTTGCGACGTGAAGCTTGATTTCACCCCTTGATATTTTGAACGAATCACTTTTAGTACTTAGAGGTATCCGTGAAACTATTTTGGCTCTAACATCAACAACGGGCGTGCAATTCTTATTTGGAAAAATGGTTAAACGTAGAGCATAGCGTAATCACGATCACACGCTTAATCAGGCCTTAAATTGGGCCAATTAATCACATTTACATACCACTTTGGTGATACCTTGCTACCTCCTCAAGGATTATCAATTGCCAAAGTAACTTAAAATCAGTATTCTCTCGTGTCTAACTTCAATTCAAACTCACAAGTTGATAATGCTCGTCTCATTCACTATTCTCTGTTTAACTATATACTCGATTAATAAAATCAGTGTGATGGCCACCACGTATTTCCTGCAAGCACACTGTTGTTCGTAACTTCTTCAGATGAGTCCCACCGACCATTAACTCGAACAACTTTATAAGGATGATCATCCAACATTAATGTCTCGAGTTTGTCAAAGTTCATCTGTTTGAATGCCAATGCCCCGATATGGTGGGTTTGATTACGGCGAGTGTCTTGGTTGCTGTCAGGTTTACGCCAAATTCGCGGCCAATTAATGAAGCCCACACGAGACGTCACTTCACAGTAGGTAAGCCTTTTGAAGTTGGCAGCAAGAGCAGCGATCTCACTATAGTACATTGTGGAACAAGGCACTGATAATACCAAGCGCGTCACGGAATCAGCCAAGGCAATAAATTCATTGGAACCATCATGGTAGCGAATAAACAAATCGGTCAACAGCGTAAATTGAGATGCGTGCTTATAGACACCGACGCAATCGGTAAGCACCGATAACTGCTTCACCAAACCCAAGTTGACGATGCCATCGATATTATCGTGAGATCCACCAAGCCGGAGGCTGTCGACTCTGAGTCGACCACGATACTTTTGCATTGCAGGACAAATATCTGGTAGCATAAGTCGAGAAAGATGTGGTGATTGATAGAAAAATTTTGACGGCAGGGATTCGCTGGCCGGTGCGATCATATAGCGAGTGGAGTAATTTTGGAAGTAGACGGAGATGAAGTTCCTTTGCAAGTCACACTCGTGGGGCTGAGACGACTCCCAAGGACTGTAGTGTGACTCGAAAAGAACATCTCTGACCCCCCAGTCAAAGTCAGTAAAGGGTAATCGAATAAACAAAGCTTGAGGGACCATCAACCACTGGTTCAGGAACTCATTCTGCCAATTGTATACCGCATCCGAAGGGTCGCACACGAATACTTGAGAGAAAAGCCAACTCTTAGTGAAGTGGGGTATGGTACGGCGTTTGATTGTCAACGCCAACGACTCAACCTCGTCGGGTGGGTATAAAAGCGTAAACGCCAAGTTTTTGGGGAGGTAGTGAAACACAATGAAAAGAATCTCCTCGGGTAAATCGTTAATGGTAGCGTACTCGTGGTTGTTGTCCACCAAGCTTAGACCGGCTAAGGCTAGGTGTGAGGCCAAACGACGCCGTCTTTTCGGGGGAGCCAACAGAAGCAGCCGCTTCTTGTTCAACCGTTGGAGCCCGTTGTCAGTCATGAGAACAATTAGAATGAGTGACCTTTGGCCAGCTAACTGTTGAAGTTTAAGCCTTGGCTCCAAGGTCAACTTTGTCTCGCCTAAGACACTGTGGTGAGCGAAAGATGAGGGGAACGGCGCGATGCTAATAACTAAGTGAAGCTAGTGATCAGAGCGACTAACCGGAACAATGTAACCTCTCGAGAATTACACATTCCAAGTTGTTGTAAGCCCGGGGGGGTAATAGTATGTCCAGCGTGGGATTCAGCACACCGCTTTCTCTTTTGTTTGACACTGGCATCAAGACGTGTGCATTCACTTGATTCAATTCATTGTTTGGTCCCGATGAGGCTTAGTGGTATCAAATGGGTCTAGGCCATTGTTCTCTCGAAGTTTCCCCGCGATATTGACAAATGGTGAGGCTACGCGAAAAGTGTACTCAGCCCATAACAACCCCATCTACCTCCAAACAATGGCCTTTAAATTGAGGTTATGTGTTTGGTTCATCAAGTCAAATTCTCTTTAATATTGTTTCAAAATAAGCTGAGTGTTTCAGCAAACGACAAGGTAAACATTCAGTCTATTAGATTGTCTCCTCGTCATTATAGTGGTAGTAGCCTCGCGCGCACGAACAAAAGCCATCTTAGCACACACCTACGCCCTTACATCACTCGCACACAATGAGTATCCCCGTGCCCATGGACGAAGACCTTGACGACGAATTCAACGACGAGGAGCCTCAGAATGTCGGTGACGTCGAAGGTAACGGTGAGTCGTCCTCCTCAACCGGTGCGGCTGCGGCAGCAGCGCCCATGGTGGACCTCCCAGAACTCACGCGTAAAGACAAGACTCTCGGCGAAGTGCTTGAACTAATGGACGGAGAGTTTGCTCCCATCATCCCTGACGCTGTCACCGACTACTACCTTGCCAAGAACGGGTTTGAGACGCTGGACGTGCGGATTAAACGCCTTTTAGCGTTGGCCACCCAGAAGTTCATCAACGACATTGCCCAGGACGCCTACGAGTATCTGCGTATCCGCAACTCGCTGGCAGTATACAACAGTTCCAACCCTCAAGTGAGAGCAAAGCAATTACTCCAGGGACAGCAGTTTGCTAACCAACAGCTGGTTACTGGTGGTGCCGGCAATGCCGGTGCCAATCTCGAACCGGGCGAAGACGGAGCTCAGGGCCAACAGCAACAGCAACTGCAGCCGCTGCACCTGGGGCTGAGTGCGGGGAACCAGCAGGGGAAGATCGTGTTGACGATGGAGGACTTGCTGAACGCGTTGAGCGAGTACGGGTTGAACACGTCGCGCCCCGAGTTCTACCGGTGAGTTGTGGGCCTCACTGCTACCGGTGAGGGCGGGGCCTTGACTGGGATTTGTGTGTATAATTAGGTAAATACCGTATGTATAATTAAGGCGAATAAGGTATAATACAAACATCGTCGCCAATATAGTACAAAAGCAACACCGAGTTACGTCGCTGTCGTTTTCAACGGGTTGGAAATCATTACCAAAAAAGTGGTCTCCGCCAGGAAGAACGCTTTATCACTGGAAACGGTGTCATCGTTTGTTAGCCCCATTGGATTCTGAATAGCGTTCAAGTTTCAAGAGTCTCTTTGAACAAGTGCCTCACGGTCTTAAGGAACTTCCCCACCGACCGGTGATCGTTAAGCTCGTGTTCCACAAGCAGCAACAAGTTTGAGCCGAGATCGGGCGCCAGCGCCACCACGACGAAATCTTCTCCCGATATGTCAATATCAATCTGGTATACTCGCTCAGGATGGCGAGGGTCAATGTTAGTGAAGGAAAACTTGATAATGTTCGGTTTGCGGGCCTCGATCCGTAGTCCTAGTAGCCGACTATAAGTCTCGAGGTTATTGATATCTCTCGTCACCGCTTCTCGAGTCCGTTTCAGCCGCTGCACTAGCCGGGCTTCCGCTTCAGCCTGTTGACGATCAAGATCAGCAATCTGTTGTTGTATCAGGACAATATTCGTTTGAAGTCTGTCGAGTTGAGATAGCAGTTGTTGGAGCTGGTGGAGATCGCGGTGGATGGTCGGTAGTTCCTGGGCCAATTGTTGTTGCTGCTGCTGCTGTTTTGCTCGTTGTAAGCTCTGTTCTCGCTCCACTGCCTGTAATTGAATGTGGAGCTGAGCCAATTGGTGTTGGTAGTTGTCCAGCGTCAGGGCCACCGACGCGTGTAATTTCTCTTGTAAGTGGGCGATCGCCTTCAGCCGGGCCATCGCCGTCTGCTGGACCTGCTGGAGGCTGTGGCTGATCGCCTGGGGCAGCGGCCGTTCCACAGGGTCCATGGTTTGTTTTGATCTTCGCGGCTCGTGCTCAGTGCGATCGATTGTCACCATCGCGGGCTCCAAATGAAAACAATCACAAAAGCATTGAAATACTGGAAACATGATGACTTGAAACTTTCATGTTTGAAAACTATCGTAGTTGTCATTAAGTTCCACGTTATGTGTTTCATCATCTTCTCCATGAACTTAGTTCATTTTTGGTGGTAGCCTATGTTTATCGACACGTCTCCCTATTTTATCGCTACGCGCGACTCGTATACCACCACACAAACACCGATGGTACTCGTGTCGATCCTCGTCGCCCTCAGGGCAGCGCTGGTGGTACGGATGATCATCCCCGACTGTGACGAGACCTATAACTACTGGGACCCCTTAAACGTTGTGCTTCGCGGGTTCGGCAAGCAGACGTGGGAATATAGCCCCGAGTACGCCATCCGGCTGTGGGCCTATCTTATGGTGTACGCGGTGCCGGCGTGGATTGCCAGCAAACTAGGGGTGAGTGACCAGTGGCTCTTTTACGTGGTGAGGCTGGCAATCGTGTTATTCACCGTATGGGGCGAGATTACCTTATACCGGCTGATACGGCGCCAGTTCGGTAAAGAGGCGCTGAATTGGTTTATGGTGTTTTCCGCAGCACTGACGGGGATGGCGCACGCTGGGGTAGCGTTATTACCCCTGCTGTGGGCGTTGCAGACCCAGTTGGTGGCGGTGGCGGCGGCATTGGACGGCCACTACTTGACGCTGGTGGTGTGGCAATTTGTCGGTGGTTTACTTGGCTGGCCATTTGCTCTTGCCTTGGGCGTTCCTGTGGGATTGACCGTGGTTATTCGTCGTCAGTTTAACACGGTGGTGGGCGCTATATTGGCGTTTACTTTGATTTGCACGCTGTTGGTGGCGGTGGACCTGTACTACTATGACCGGCTTGTACTTGTCCCCTGGAACATCGTTAAATATAATGTTTTAAGTGGTGATGACGGGGTGGGCCCCGAGATCTTTGGCACTGAGCCGTGGACTTATTACCCTGTGAATTTAGTGCTTAACTTCCACGTGGTGGCGGTGGCAGGGTACCTTGGCGCCGTGGTAAACTACTTCTTTTACAACCCGAAACGAGTATGGTTGGTGCTGGCTCCGTTGCTCATTTGGCTGGCCATCTTCTTCACCCAGCCGCATAAAGAGGAACGGTTTCTTTATCCCATCTACCCGCTTGTGGTGGCTAATGCCGCATTATTAGCGGCTGCGGTGGGTCGGTATGTCCGTTCTCGATTGCTTAAAGTGGTGGCAGCGGTGGCAGTAACGGTGGTCTCGTGTTTACGTACCGCTGCCTTGATCCTTCATTACCTGGCTCCGTTAACGGTAATGTCGACGTTCTGGGATGGGAATGAAACCACTTCTGTCGATCAACACAAATCAGTATGTGTGGGTAAAGAATGGTACCATTTCCCCACGCTGATGCTTTTACCGGAAAACTACCGATTGGAGTATATTGACCTGGGCTTTGACGGACTCTTACCGGGTCTGTTTGCTGAAGGTCTGCTGTTGAAGCTGAGGGCTTCCGTGGTTCCTGAAGGGATGAATAACCGCAACCAGTATGATCCCCTGAAGGTGGTACCCGAGTCTCAATGCGACTATCTCATTGAGCTGGGTGCTGGCGAAGACTTAAAGGGGTGGACCCGCAAACAGTGTGCTCAGATGCTTGATCCAGCACAACCTCAGGGGTGGGGCCGTCTCATTTATTTGCCCATAAATCGCGGCAAGGTGAACGCGATGGACTACTGTGTCTACGAACGTGATGCGTCGGTATAACTCTACAACTGGCCGTGTATATAGATTTAACGGTGTATCAGAAATGAACAAATAATACGAGAGATTATACAGCTGAAATGTATTTTTGCGTGCAAAGATTGGTGACGCAAACATGAGCTTAATGAGATCGATATACATAAATAGCGGTCAGTTTGATGATAAATCACAATTGACAAAAATTCCAATCCAGATTGAGTTGATAATTTCAATAATGTTCAAATTTGATTGTGGTTGCGACCTCCACATTCTTAGATCGCGTCACGTGGGACGAGGCTTAACCCCATATACAGGCTATTATCAACTAAATGTAGTGATAACAAATTGTTTTGATTCAATCACCTTTGAAATTCCTGTTCCCAAAAACCCCATATTAATGTAATCTACGGGTGGCAACTACCTCTGAGTTTAAACTTCAAAGACAGTGTCTCATTTAAGTAAGAAAACAACATATAAGTGCTGTAGATGCGCACTTCATCGATATATCGGCTGGAGTCTAAATTACTGATTCCAATTGAGATTATATTCCACCTTCAAGTTTTTGGTCGTTTTCATGATAGTCTCATTTCCTCGCTTTTCCATGAATGCATAATATTGCTACTTCGTATAATCTATAGATGTATCCTGGTCCTATGTCACTTTTGTTCCAACACTTTTTTCACTTCGGTTTTCACCACTGGCGACGGGTCAAGCACGTGGAGGCGTTCCAATGAATCTCTTATCTTATGAGCAGAATCAGCTGCGATCCGACGAGCGATGGCTCCACTCACGCGGACGTAGTGAATGCGGATATTCTCAATGTTATTAGACCCGGCACAGATCAGTTCCAAAAACTTCCACGTCAGGAATGTCTGATCAACCTCAGTCGCGGGAGCTTTCTCCACCACTGACGTCACCACTTCACAGGCAGCAAGTTTCAGACGCCACGTTGGTTCAAGCACTTTCAGGTGAAACAAGTTTTCCGTCGCTTTCAAGGTAAACTGAAACAACGGTGCCAGTTTCCCCAGGTAAGCCACCGCCAAATTCTTATAAAACTCGAGCCTTTCTTCTTCAAACTTGATGTTTTCACGCGCATCCACGTCCATGGTATTGTTGCCGTCAGCATCGCTATCGTCGCTGTCACCATCGTCGTCGTCGCGCAAATACTTATCGGAAAGCGCCGTGGTCATAAGTCCAATATATTCGTCCACTAACCGGTTGAACTGGCCGACAAACTTACCCATAGTGATGAGAGCGTGCTTTTGGTACAGCTTATTGCGGCGTTTCGCTTCTACCCCCACCACTTTAGCCACGGCACTGATGGTGGCATCGTCAAGCAGTTCCCCGAAAGTACACGCCACGGTGACGAGAGCATCGAAAAACAAGTGTTTCCCCTCCCACAGTTTCCCCTGGTTGGCGTCGATAAGCATGGTTATCAAAGGTTTGATTTGGGTGGCAGTAAGACCGGCAGTATCGTTAACTGCCTCCGCCACTGCCAGTGCCGCCCGCGCCATCGTCCGCCGGGTATGGTAGCTGGCCAGGCGGGCGTGGGTGCCGATAGCACCAATGATTTCGTCGTAGTAAAGGCGTACTCCTCGCAGAGCGCTGCTGGTGTGTTCGTCCCAAACTCGTTCAAAGATGGCGCCAGCACTTCCAGAGTCGAATTTCGCCACAAACAGCAAGGGGAGCACGCTACTACTGACGGCGTCAATGCGGTCGCCGCCACCGTATTTCGCTAAAGCGTCGATGGCGATGGCACTATGCATTCTCTGGTCATCGTCGTCGGCACTATAGTAACGTTCAGCCACGTCGTCGACGTAGCGGGCCACCAGCGTCACTGGAGCTAGCCGAGCCCAGTGGCCAGCAGCCCCAGCGAACGCCAGCGCCACCACTAAGTTACCATCACGGGCTTGACGAGCGCACACCGTAAGTCCTTTCTCAGCGTAGGGAGCCACCACAGCCCTGCGCCGCGTAGCTAATAACACCATCGTTTTGGCACACCCCACTTTCAGCGGTAACCCTACCGTCAGCTTTGCCAGCGCTATCAATTTGGGGATTAAAGTGGTAGCGACGTCATCGTCGACGAGAGTAACCAATTTATCGACGGCGTCCATCAACGGCAGTCGACCAACACCAGAAAGCCGTTGCTGGTCCAAAGCCAGCTTATCAAGGCCGTACTTGTCGGCATTTAAGTAGACGTAGTTCACCACTTGCGGTTCCAAAGTCAGCATCAATTGTACCAATTCGTCAATCAATTGAGGGACGTATTTGCGGATAACAGCACTGTCGCGACCACAGAGCTTCAATAAGGTGTCAAGAGCAAATTGACGTACTTCTTCGGCATCGGAACCAAGACCTCTACCCCCTAAAAGGAAGGGGATCACTGTATCCAAAGCCGACTCGGCTCCCGGCAGCTGAGCCTCGACTAAACGGACCACCATTCCCGCTAACTGTTTAGCTAATTGGTCACCTTGTTTTCTGACACTTTCCTTAATATCGTCGATGGCCCGGAACGCCATCGTCCAAATATCAGGGAGTTTCTCAAAATATCTTTGAGGAGAAACACTACCCAAAACCAGGGCCAACGCTGCGGTGGCCGCTTCTCTCGTCCGCCACTCTTTGTCACTCATCCCCTTCAATGCTTCTGCAACGATAGCATCGAAGTATTGAGCGATAATTGCGGTATCGTCGCCCACCACCATCTTCCAAATCTGGGTCATTACTGACGCCACTGACGTGTATGGATCAAACCGGTAACAATAAAGTTTAGGTACCAATTTCAACGCCATCAGTGGGTTCAGGGCTAACATATCGTCAAGCAGTACTTTAGAAAGAATTGCCCCAAGCCCGAAAGCCATGCCTCGTCTCAGCAGCCACAATGCTCTCTGTTGAGCAAGTGCCATGAACTTATACACTAAACTGGGGTCACCGACATCCAGGGCCAAGCTAAGAACGTCACGGTAGCTGTGGACGGCACCACCGTCTCCCGTCTGGAGGTCAGGAGTGTCGAATAACTCAGTATCTTCATCAACACTACCCAGAGTCAATTTTCTCAGCTGGTTAGCATCAGTGAAAGACTTGAGCAATTGCTTAACCAAAGTATCTTTCATATCAGCTGATCCAAGCTCAAACACCCGGGCTAATCCTCTCAGTGCGGCTTCCTGAACCAAATCGTCACGGTCAGCAATGAACCTCATGAACGCCACTTGTAGGTCACTAGCCCGTTGTTTTATGGGGTCTAAGTGACCACAAAACTCCACTAACGAAAGTAACCAGATACACGCGGCACGACGAAGCAGAGGCCGTGTATGGCGAGAGAACTCTAATACCTTGGTCACCGCAGTTTCCACCTTCTCCTGAGGTTGAGCAGTTAGATAAGTGGTGGGGTCAGTGCCCATGATATCCAATTTCCGCTCGATGTTTACCGCTTGCCAACCGGCGACAGAAGCGGCTAACGCTTCACCAGAGGCAAACACAAACTCCACTTGTTTCGCCGCCAGACTATCGTAAATCACTTCCTCAATCAGCGTATCGGTATTGGGGAAAGCGATGCTCCAATCCCCTAAAGAAGTGACGGCATTTTCATTATGTTTCTTCACTTTGGATTTAATCATCTCAAACGCTTCATCAATAAACTCTGCGGAAAATCTCTCAATGGCCCCAAAACGAGCTAACTGACTCAATGCTTCTAAGGCTTGGCTTAAACCTGACGGACCCAGCCACATTTGTTTGAGAGAAGTCTCCAAATTGACTATCGGGATTGTCAGCCGAAGCGGCAGTTGGCGAAGGTAAAGACGGCCTAAGATCGCCGCCTGAACCAATGGACGTTGGTCAAGTTGATTCCATATTTGTTCAGTAGGAGCAGAGGCATCCAGAGCCACAATCGCAATCACCAGGGCTCCCGACACTCCTCCACGATCACCCACCAGTGTCATTAACTGAGGTAATTGAGGTACCAAACCAGTTATTGATGTAGCAGGGCTCATTGACACCATGGTATACATCATTTCGGCAAATTTGTCGGGCTGGTGGGCAATAACTTTCACCACACAATCAAACCAGAGACTTAAGGAATTGGATTCAGTGGCTAAGAATTCACTCACTAGCCGTCTGACCGTTGAGTCGGTGGCCAATGCTCGCGTCACCCGAGTCTCCCAGTCGTCGTCAACAACCACCACCGTCTTCTTGCCCCTGACCGCAGTCATCACCACGATTTTCACGGCAAACTCCAACGCCAGGTATGCCAGCTTGTCATCCACGGGAGAATCAGAGGTAGTGATCACTGCCATGTAATTTTCAAGGCTGGGGAACTCCACTGAAACACCTGATCCGAGTAATTGAGCCGTGGGGACAAACTCCGTAGTATTAGCTGACAGTTGTAGAGCGAACCAGTGAGGATGAAGGCCTCGTTGCGCTTCTTCCAACGTGTCCAGACGAGTACTGGTCAGTGCTGCCACCACACATAACACACGAGCCTCAGCATCGTCAAAGGGGAACGCTAAGTTGAGGTATTTCACCGCCATGAATCTCACTGCCAGGTCCTGGGGAGTTAAGATGGCTCGTTTGAGTAAGTTTCTGAGTTGTGGATCCAGCTTAAATTGACCCAAATAGCGTGTAAGTCTCCCAAGAACTTCACTTACAGTCTGTCTGAGCTCAATGGCACTGGTATCCAACTGGCGGAAGAGAAACTCGATGGCACTGAAGTCAACGGCATTGCCATCGTTAGCCGTCAATAAGTGGCCATAGGCTTCGTAAAGCATCGATAATTGTGCGGCAGCAGTGTGTTTAGCTTCAGCCTGGACGATCTCTTCCTTGACATTGGTAAGCATCAGCAGGGCTAAAGGTGCCGAAACTGAGTTACGGACAAGGTATTGAAGCACTAGCAGCTTCAACGGTCGGTGGTTCAGTTGGATGGCTCGTTCCACTAATTGGTCAAACCCTGGTGTGGTTTGAGCATGAGGTGATTGGAGTACGTCAGCCACAATTGCCGTCACTGCTCGTATTTCCAAAGGAGGGAACTCAGACGTACCAATACACAATTCCACAAGGTACTTGATGGCATTGGTATTTTCACCAAATGCAGTTTTGATGGGCAGAGGGAGTTTCTTCCATTTAGTGGTGGCCGGATCACTTATCAGCGACAGCGGGTCAGTGGTGGCGATAAGCAATGGAAGTGGTTGATTTGGTGACGGTAATAAGTCAATAAATGCAAGTAATCGGCTCTTTGCTTGTGTGAGTTGAGCCTGGGTCCATTCCTTACCGGCATCGACACTATAGAAGCGGTAATCAGCCACGGAAAGACCTGGGTTGGCTCGAGCCACGTCACCATTGGATAGAGTAAGCATGAACACTTGAGCCACGTGTGTTTCAAGCCAATTGGCATCGGTTTCATCAAGTTCTAGCTTGAATGATTCCGGGAATTGTGAGGGCAATATCTTCAAGAATATCAGGAATAGCTTCGCTTGAATCGTTCTTTGGTAATTAGAGATACCCGAAAGCACCTGAGGAATCACGTCCACTTGTTCTTCGGCACTCAATCGGGTGATGGCGATGTCAAAGAACATCGCGGTATAGATCCTCACCGCCAGCGGGTCCTGACCTTGTGGAAGGCGCGGCAGCTTGATCTGGTCAAGCAATGCCTTCCAGGGAAGCCGTAGCGACGTTGCCGTTTTGATTCTGGGAGATATGTCGCCGATAATCTTGATAATGGCGTCGCGGGACTGGGGGTAGGGCGACGCCAATTTGAGGAGTAACGGACAGAGGAATTGTCCCAACGCCTTCTCAAGCTGGGCATCGGTGGTGGCAAGGGCAAGCCGGAGCTCGACGGTCCCGATGAGCTTGAGTTCCCCGTCCATTGGAGATTNGGGGGGGGGGGGGGGGGGGGGGGGGGGGGGGGGGGGGGGGGGGGGGGGGGGGGGGGGGGGGGGGGGGGGTAACCACAGTGGGGCCAATGCGATGGTGGCGACTCCGACTAAGACGACTGAAAATACTTAAATTTAAACTGAAAATTATGATAGTATTGAGTGTAATTCAAGTTTCATGTGATTCAAAGTTGAAACTGGTTGGGGATGTGTTAGGCTTACAATGGCTTCATGACACTAACTAAATCGATTATGGTTAGATCAAGCGCGAACGTTGATACAATTGAAATTTGTGCATTCCGTAAAGAATAAAAAGTAATTTGAAGACACGGATTAATTACCTGGTCCAAAGCACGATTGTCGTACTCAATGTACACGAGTTTCGCTGGATCCACGAAATGAATCGAGGCTGGGTGTCCAACATCGAGAAGCCATAGTCTCCAGACTGGGACCTCAACGTTGAGAAGCCATAGTTTTTTGCACATTTTTGGGTATTGCGAGTGTCAAAGAACCGAAGCGATCAATGCATAATGAATTGAGATCGTCGCGTTGTTTCAAACGTGCACCATCCCACGATAGTTCCGGAGTGATAATCAAACACTCCATCGATTTGGGCATTTTGATGTTGTCATTACAAGTCAATTGGGGACAGGTGTAGTGGCGCATTGGTGGGAGGAGTAGCAGGTCTCTTGTCCATGGCGTAAATAGATGGACAGCCACCGTTAAATTGAAACCTGGAATAGCAAAACGTAAACTTGAAAGTGGTAATTGAGTAATGAGCCTTATCCTCGAGTAAATTGTTGGAAATCCATCGCGTTCTTAAGTTGATTGTTTGGGTATCTAGTGAGCGTGTAGCGTAGCGTGTTTTCATTATTGTCAACATAGAGAGTGCGAGTTCTATGCAGGATATTAGGACGTAACGTAGAGGGGGGGTAGCCAAATATTAAACGTGTAATTGTAGCCAAATGCTAAACGTGTAATTGTAGCCCTACACTAGAAAAGGAGTACTACAAAATTCTTATACTGCCGCCGTCAGATTGAGGATTTCCAAAAGATTTTTTCAAATTGACGATTACTTAGATCCCTTGCGTTTTGACGGCTACAGCGCTGATGAACTCCATCAACATATACTTTAAAAGCCACCAGCCATTTGTCATCATTGGTTATCGTCATATCAACTTCTACCGAAGACACATTTTCTCATTGTCTCTCGGCGATCAATGGAGATGAGCTTTCTCATTTCAGGACAGAGCCACCAGTTGAGCTTGGAAAATATCAGTAGACACCATCTGGAATCGAAAATATACACATTTATGTGGTGTTTGTTGCCTATCATCGTCTCATGCTGATTAGATTGAACGAAACTCATGGCATTCATAAATTCCACCCTTAATCAACCGGAAAGACCGTCGTCTTCCACTATCTGTTCACTACTATCTGTGTACTCCTTGACCCAAATCACGCAACGCAAGATGCTATACATCGACGGTAAAACACCACCCAAATATCATCAAGAAAAACCCATTGTATGTTTGTTTGCAACCGCATTGTGGTCTTGTTTGGCATTCTCTTATATGCAGGCCAGCGTGTAGGCGATAAGCTGGCTAAGAGATTTACGATTTCAATACGCCACGAGTATTCGTCGTAGAGTGATAAGACGTAGCTCATTGTAATTGCCGTTGCCAGTTTAGTCGAACTCAATTCCCAAAACTTCGAAATCCCAAAATTAAAAAATCGGGATTTTGCTAGAGAAAAAAAAAATGGCGTTTCAAATTTTTGATTTTCGAAAACTGGCATACTTTTTCGAACGCCATTTGCTGCCGCCGATATATGTTGATCTTTGAACTTTTGTGAGTAACATTTGTTAGCACACCTAGGGTCCAACTTGGCTGAGTCGTGAAATAAATGAGGGCAAAGGGTGCGTTTTGGGTCACGCTTTACAAAATTTTTTTATTTCAAATTTACAGCTAAAAGGGGGTGTATTACCACTGTTATAGAAGCTAATGCTACGAGAGTGGGCTCGTTGGCATCGTAGGAGTCAGGTTTACTATCGATTTCATTATTTTTCGCGGTGGGACCAATTTTCGAAAAGTTTGCTGTCAAGGGTATCTTTGACTGTATGCAGGATGTTTATGCACCAGAGGTGCACAAATGGTATACATCGCCACACCCCCTTTTTTATCATCAAAATTCGAGGAATCCAAGGGTAGTAGTGAATTTTAATCTGATGGAGATCCATGGTGAGCTAGCTGTGATAACAAGACTTTTACTAAGATTTGTTTAAAGCTGTTGGTGACAGAAGCACAGTGATTATTCAAATTCCTCTCACCATCAAACTCATGCCTAGTTTAATGTGAAGTGTCATCAAAAGGTGCTTAGGGTAATCCATAAATGGATAGGTTTACCTGAGACATTTTCGTGTTGAAACAAAGCTACTGGCGAGTGTTAAGAGAACTTTATTTAATTTACAAAATTTTTCGCAATTCGGAGGAATCATAGATAAGATCAAGCAGACGCTTTTTGTTTCAGTTTCAATCACTACTTGATACCAAATAGTAACAGCGACCCCCACCTCTCTTCCCCCATCAATGTTACCACCATTTGAGCATGAAAAAACTACCTGCCTACTCACTGATCCACGATTACATCGATGTCAACCCCCTTTAATGTCATTGATTTGCTGATGATGTTTACCATTACATTCAAATTTCCGTTTGTTTGTTTGTATTGGGGGGCTTTCTTGTCGGTCAACGACGGCAACCCTTCGAAGAAATATATACACCACTAATCATTGCGTCGCATGACTTTTTCCTTTAATTGTTTCAATTCGTCATCGGATTTCTGCGACCCCTTTTCAATGATCAAATTGCGCAAAAGTTTATTTTCCATTTCCAACCGCGAGATTTTCAGTTCGAAATCTTTCACCGTCGAGTTTAATTCGACGATCCTCAGCTCCATTTGTTTCTCTTTCATCTTTTTCTTGATTCTAAACCGGGCCGAGGCTGCGGTATTGCGTCGCCGCTTATCTAGCTCGGTCAGCAGCGGCAGCGCCTGACTGGCATTATCTTCCAGCAGCGACGGCAGCGGATGGAGAAGCAGCAGATATACCAGCATATGATTTTGGTGTGGTGTGGGGTGTGACGGAGGCGTGGCGTGACTACTGCCAAAGCCACTGGCAAGGTCAAATATCGGTAATGGTGCCATCGGGTACAGCAGCAGTAGACTCAGAGTAGACGTCGTTGAAGGAGTTACCGAAGCATCAACACTTGTAGAGGGTATTTGTTTGCCTAGCAGTTGTTGGTGTTGGGCCACCAAAGCCGATAATAAGTCGATTTGGTTCAGGGACAAGCCCGCCAGTTCCAACAGCAGTTTCGCTCCCGGCGGCACGGGGAACTTAGGGAGTGCTCCTAATGGACCATTATGCCCATGAGATTGGTTAGAAGAATGGTTTTGGTTTGCTGCCTGAGCTGAACTCAGGCTTTGGGGTTCATCAAAGTCGTTCCATCTATGATCAGCTTCGGATTTGGTCTCATCGGGGAATACAAACAGGTCATCGGCAAAAGCGGCTAACTCCATGGATAGCTGGCCATCAGCATCCAAATTGGGCGTGGTTTGACCCCCGTTCATGAAGGTATCGATGTAGACAAGCTGTTCTAGGAGAGCAGCCAGCGTCTCCTGGGGGTTCAGTTGCGGGGTCAGCTGCGACTGGCTTCGGCTATGGCGATTCATAAACAGCAGAAAAACAAGAAACAGAAGCAAATGACGTTTTGTTTGGGGATTTGGCTATATAACTAAGGGTGGTATGGCGAGACTCCACCACAGTGGCGCTATCGGAGGGGGGTGCACAGGTCACGTGAGTTCGCGTCAGTCAAACCGTCGCACTAAATCCGCGGGCGCGATGACGGCACCCGGGCGCGAAATCGGTATCCCCGTGGGTGGCTGTCGACTTTGCAACTCCCGGCACTCACGACACTTCCGGCGCCGGAAGTGTCGGTAGTGGTGGCGACGACGTGGTAGTGGACGTATACGGGAGTATGGGCCACTGGCATCAGCGTGTACCCCGGCCATTTCTCGGGGCAAGGCCGACGTCCCCAGCAACTGGAAATCGACACCACCCGTTGCCCAGCCATGCTTAGGGATCCGATAAAAGGGATTTGATTAAAGACATATAGTTTGGTGGTATGAGCCCTGGTGTCCACAATCCAGGTGATATATGTGGGGAAGGTGTGCTGCGATGGATCCTCGACAGCTATCATATTAGGTCCGAGCCCCTAACCCCGTTAAATCCGTTGACTACAACCACTACCGTTATTAACTTTTCAAGACTAAAGAATACCCCTAGCCAGGAACTGCTAGTTTCGTGGTTATATATTAAATGACGTTAAGTGTACTTTGTCGATGACATAATCATGCTTTGGTATCAGCCGACAATTATTGCTCCGAATCGGCTGAGGCGAAACGCACAGCGTAAAATGTATTGTTCCGGTTGACCGGAACCGCCTGTGATAGTACACAAATCCCTTCCCCACAAATCCCCCTAGCCCTAACAATATCAGGTTTACAACGGAGGCCCACAATAGCAATGATAGGTCAATTCAATAACAGTCAATTGCAGTATTCTCCACTACCCTAATTACTCTGCCTCCTTCCTTATTCGGTGGAAGGTGCGATGTTTAGGCCTCGGTCGAGCTACTCAATTTTTTTCCACGTGTGGCCGCTAAATTTTTCACTTCTCGCACATTACGAGCAAAAAAAAGCAGAGAAGTCTTCTAAATTAGAGCCATCAAAATAGTTGAAACTAATAGTTGAAACTAGTATCATATTTTAGAACGTTGTTTCATGTTTGTTTATTCCGTATCCGTGTCATCAGACGCGACAGCCAGTGCCGCGTGTGTCTCTATAAACTAAGCTTCCGAGGTATTCAACCAAAAGTGTAGCAAATATTGTTGTTTCATGTTTTTCATGTTGTTTCATCTTTTGCCTTAAAGTTGTTTAGTGTCTCTTGGCGGAGAGGGAGTCGTGCTTAGCCTTAACGGAAAGAGGCAGCTGGTTGGTCATCTTCAACCGGTACTCGGCAAACAGCTTGAACGAGTGGCCCAGCTTCACTTGGGGCTTGGAAACTTCCTTAGCGACTTTGGCGGCTTGTTGAAACGATCTTCTGAAGTACATTGTTTGGGGTATTGGATGCTCGGGAAACGGTGGGAGTGTGGCTGTCTTTATATAGGGAAGCGGGGGCGGGTGTGTCAGCAGCAGGTATCGGCGGCTAATAATTTTTTTTTTTTATGCCTCAGGCTATATTTTTGACTCACCGGCTTAGCGGCATGCACCGAGCGGAGACAAAGTGGAGGGGGGGTGTGATACTGGGGCGCGAGTGATGACCAGAAACGGGCGATGACTAGATCTTTTCTCCGTGATTCCTGACGGGTTCCCCTCACGTGACGGTGAAACCGTGATCACCTGAGGGTCACTTGAAACCACCACCAGGCAATCGCTGTTTCCAATTCTCAAACTCCTTTACTCTATTCTGTTTGCTGTAGTTGATTGACCCCACCATGCAGGTGGGCACATACTGAACCAAATCTCCAGCCAATCACGGGCGCGCACCGCGCACATAACAAAGATAACGACGACAGGAGATCGTGGCTTCGATGCAGGTCTTATCCGCGCTGCCGACGTCACCGAATGATTTCGCCCGAGGCAAGCAAACGGGCTAAGGAGAAAATCGGAAACAAAAGTGATCAGGTGACGACGGGGTCACTGAAATCAGGTGACGACGTCACTAAAATCAGCTGACGCTAGCGTAGGTTTGTAACAGGGGTATGGTTTCAAGAAGGAGGAGATATACCACCGAGTAATGAAGGTCGGGGTTTAAGGCTCGTGGTGGGGTTTGAGATATAGCCGTATCGGAACGACGTCGCTCGCGCCAATGAGCGGCAGCGGATAGACGTCGGTTTAGAGTGCGGAACACATCTGTGAGGAGGGCGCCCCATCTTCGGCTGAGGCGAGCGACGGAGGTGTTTGTCCGATTGGGTTGCGGTAAGCCTCAGCCGCTATCAGCGGACAAATACTTGCGAGGGCGACAGCGCGGAAAAGAGTTTGCTTGCGCGCGATAACGCTCGCTGAAATTGCTTCGGCGGCTATCGGCGCTATCGCACGTGCACTGGCGCTGAAACCGATGATGATTATGATTGCCATAGGGAAACATCAGTGCTGCAAAAAATTGGTAACAACACGCTCTCAGTGGGTGGTAGTGGCAAAAATCAGGCGACTAAGGCATGGAGCTTCAGTAGTGCCTTACCCCAGTGTCATCAATATTAAGGGAATAAATCTGAAACAACCATAACGTCAGTATTCAACACTGATTGTTTTAGATTTTGAAACAAGATTTAGCTTCGTCGTTGAGTTAGTGGGCTCCCCTCAGTTTATAAAGACGCTCGCGTTTTCCCGGAGTTGGCTTATCTGTCATGACTGGCCCGGGCATCGCCGGGGTTTCACACTTCGTATCAAATCCAGCAAACCTCTTACAAGTGATAACCACAATGCCACCCCCGGGGTGAATAGCAAACTGTAACCGTCAAATAATCATTATTCTTTGAATTCCATAAACTAAATTAATCATGGTTCTCTCATTTGCCTCATTTTGGTGGGTTATTATGGGGAGAGTTCCGTTTTATCCTTTTGATGTGACTCATCCTGAAATCTCCGGGGTTTACGTGGTTGATCCCCTGAAACTGATAATGACAGTTCTTTTTTTTTTTTTGCAGGTTAGGTATAGGGTGTGCTTCCCCTCCCTTATTATACACTTCTCTATCTCACTCATTTTTCCCGGTCTCACATGGTAGCGCCACCAAATCCGCGGCGGGCGACTCATGAGTCACTCCGAGACCCCGAAAGCGGATGCACGCGGTGCGGGCGAAATATCGGTGGTGATATCCCATTCGTGTAAACGTCACTGATAAAATTCCCAGACCTCGGAAAAACCTCACACCCTCGTTATCAGAAATGAAACTAGTAAAATCATTGAAAATTGCACTCCAATTGGATTATTTCTCTCACTATCGTTGGTTATGGTTATTGTCGCTATTGTCTGGTTCACGGCAACCGAGGCCGCTGGGCCTACCGAATAAAAACACCCCTCAGTTACTCAATGCCTCGGCACCCCAGCGGTTATTCCGTGGTGTTTGGGAAAAAGCCGTATGGCGATTATGCGCGGACAATGACTTCGTCGGTGTGAGTGGACTAGTCATGTCCGAAACGCCCACCAATAAGTTGATGTTTCACAAATTAGTCGGTGAGTTTCAGCTTGATAACGGTCGGAGTCACTCCAAGCGACTCGGGCGGTGGTATTCTCCCGTTGCCGCTAACTTTGCCTTGGTTTCCCCGGGTTTTGGCAGTAGTTTCCTTGTCTCCGAAGCTAATGTCGTGGTAGTTAATGTCCGCGACGCACCAAACCCGGGGGGACCCCTCGACCCTCATTGAATTGAGTATGATGAATTATCTATATTGTTAGAGAATCTACTAGTGTGAAACATAACTTGAAACAGGGGTCACGCCACTTGTCCGAAAATTTCTTATCTCTTAAATTTTTTCGTATTGGTGTTGCCCAGATCCCTTAACCTCCTCTATCTGCTCCCCTCCTTTGCGCCGATCAGATTTTCGCCGCCGCCGCCGCGCGCAGCGCAGCGCTATATAACCGGCACCCCACCCACCCTTCAGCCGCCATGACCACCAGCAACACCAGCCGGCTCACGCTGATGCGCCGCGACAACACGGTGTTGGGCGCAATGAACAAGCTCATGGTCGCCAACCGCGGCGAGATCCCCATCAGAATCTTCCGCACGGCGCACGAGTTGCTGATGCAAACAGTGGCGATCTATTCCCACGAGGACCGGTTGCTGATGCACCGGTTGAAGGCGGACGAGCTGTACGTGATTGGCGCCAAAGGTCAGTACTCGCCCGTCCAGGCGTATCTCCAGATCGACGAGATTCTCGCCATTGCCAAGCAGCACCACGTCAACATGATCCACCCCGGGTATGGCTTCCTTTCGGAAAACTCCGAGTTTGCCCGCAAAGTGGAGCAGGCGGGGATCACCTGGATCGGGCCCGACTACACCACCATCGACCGAGTGGGTGACAAGGTGAGCGCGCGCCAGTTGGCGCTTGAGTGCGACGTCCCCGTGGTGCCCGGCACCCCTGGTCCCATCGACACCGTCGACGAGGCGGTGGCGTTTGTCGAGAAGTACGGCTACCCCGTGATCATCAAGGCGGCGTTTGGCGGCGGCGGCCGCGGCATGCGCGTGGTGCGCGAGGGCGACGACATCGCCGACGCCTTCAAGCGCGCCACCTCCGAGGCGAAGACGGCGTTTGGCAACGGCACTTGCTTTATCGAGCGGTTTTTGAACAAACCGAAACACATCGAGGTGCAATTGTTGGCCGACAATTACGGCAACGTCATCCACTTGTTTGAGCGCGACTGCTCGGTGCAACGGCGCCACCAAAAAGTGGTGGAAGTGGCGCCGGCGAAGACGCTCCCCCAGCTGGTGCGCGACGCCATTTTGACCGATGCCGTCAAGTTGGCGCAGGCGGCAAACTACAGAAACGCCGGCACCGCCGAGTTTTTGGTTGACGATCAAAACCGCCACTATTTCATCGAAATCAACCCGAGAATCCAGGTGGAACACACCATCACCGAGGAGATCACCGGCGTCGATATCGTCGCCGCGCAGATCCAAATTGCCGCCGGCGCCTCGCTCCAGCAGTTGGGGCTTTTACAGGACAAAATCACCACCCGCGGCTTCGCCATCCAGTGCCGTATCACCACGGAAGACCCCGCCAAAAACTTCCAGCCCGATACCGGTAAGATCGAGGTGTACCGCTCGGCCGGCGGCAACGGCGTGCGCCTCGACGGGGGCAACGGGTTCGCCGGCGCCATCATCCTGCCCCACTACGACTCGATGCTCGTCAAATGTCTGTGTCTGGGGCTGACCTACGAGATTGCCCGCCGCAAGATGCTCCGCGCGTTGATTGAGTTCCGTATCCGTGGCGTGAAAACCAATATCCCCTTCTTGCTTGGATTGCTTACAAACGAGACGTTTGTCGCCGGTGAGTGCTGGACGACGTTTATCGACGACACCCCGTCGCTTTTCCAGATGATCTCGTCGCAAAACCGTGCCACCAAGTTGTTGCTGTACATCGGTGACGTCGTGGTCAACGGCCTGCCGATTAAGGGGCAGATCGGGAACCCTCAGTTGGACACCGAGGCGGAAATCCCCACTATCCACGACCCTAAGACCGGCATTGCCATTGATGTGGCGAAAACTCCCGTGCCCAGAGGCTGGAGACAAGTGTTGCTTGAAGAGGGACCCCACGGCTTTGCCAAGAAGATCAGACTGTTTGACGGCACGTTGATCACCGATACCACGTGGAGAGACGCCCACCAGTCGCTCTTAGCCACCAGAGTGCGTACCATCGACTTGGCCAACATCGCCCCCACCACTGCCCACGCCCTCAACGGGCTTCTTTCCCTTGAATGCTGGGGCGGTGCCACCTTCGACGTCGCCATGCGTTTCCTCTACGAAGACCCCTGGGCCCGGTTGCGCCAGCTCCGCAAACTCGTGCCCAACATCCCCTTCCAGATGTTATTGCGTGGTGCCAACGGTGTCGCTTACTCCTCGCTTCCTGATAACGCCATTGACCAGTTTGTCCGCGAAGCTAAGGAGGCTGGCGTCGACATTTTCCGAGTTTTCGATGCGTTAAACGACTTAGAACAGCTTAAAGTCGGTGTCGATGCCGTCAAAAAGGCTGGCGGGGTCGTCGAAGCCACCGTGTGCTACTCCGGTGACATGTTAGCCCCCGGAAAGAAGTACAACTTGGCCTACTACATGGAAGTAGTGGACAAGATCGTTGATATGGGCACCCACATCTTGGGCATCAAGGATATGGCGGGGACGTTAAAGCCTCAGGCGGCCACCGAGCTCGTCGGCACCATCAGGGCCAAGTACCCGGACTTGCCCATCCACGTCCACACCCACGACTCCGCCGGTACCGGGGTGGCGCTGATGGTCGCCGCCGCCCACGCCGGCGCCGACGCCGTCGACGCCGCGCTGAACTCGATGCTGGGGATGACGTCGCAGCCGCTGATCTCGGCGATCTTGGCTTCTCTTAGTGGCCAGATCAACACTGGTGTTGACGAAGGCATGGTGCGTGAATTGGACGCCTACTGGCAACAAATGCGTCTCTTGTACCTGTGCTTTGAAGCCGACTTGAAGGGTCCTGATCCCGACGTCTACCAGACGGAAATCCCCGGCGGTCAGCTCACAAACTTGTTGTTCCAGGCTACCCAATTGGGGCTTGGTCCTCGCTGGCTTAACACTAAACAAGCCTACAAAGAGGCGAACCAGTTGCTTGGCGATATCGTTAAAGTCACCCCTACTTCTAAGGTGGTAGGTGACTTGGCTCAGTTCATGGTGCTGAACAACTTGCTGGCTGAAGACGTCCAGAACTTGGCCTCGGAGCTCGATTTCCCGGACTCCGTCTACGACTTCATGGAAGGGTTGATGGGTACTCCCTACGGCGGGTTCCCCGAACCGTTGAGAACCAATATTTTGGCCAATAAGAGACCCAAGCTCGACAAGCGCCCGGGGCTCTACCTCAAGCCGGTAGACTTTGACGCCGTCCGCAACGAATTGAGACAACGTTATGGCCCCACCATCGACGAAACCGACGTGGCGCTGCACATCATGTACCCCAAGGTGTACGAACAGTTCCGGGCTACCCAGGAAAAGTTCGGCGACTTGCTGGTGTTGCCCACCCGCTACTTCTTGAAGGCGCCGCTGATCGGCGAGGAATTGCTGGTGGACATCGAACAAGGGAAGACGCTTATCATTAAGCTTTTGGCCATCGGTGAGCTCTCGCAAAAGACGGGTAACCGCGAGGTGTTCTTTGAACTCAACGGGGAAATGCGCTCGGTCACCGTCACCGATAACACGGTGCTGATTGAGACGAAGACCCGGGCCAAGGCGTCGCAGCCTAACGACGTCGGCGCTCCCATGCTGGGGGTCATCGTCGAAATCAGGGTTAAGGACGGCCAGGAAGTCAAGAAAGGCGACCCCGTGGCGGTGTTGCTGGCGATGAAGATGGAAATGGTGATCTCGGCGCCGGTGTCAGGCCATGTGGGCGAGATCTTGATCAAGGAAGGCGACCTGGTCGACGCCAGCGACTTGATCACCCTGATCAAGAAATAGGATATTGACATCTTAAATCCTGTTCAGATAGCCTACGATAATAAACGAATGAGAACTAACTGAGCGTAACATATTGTAGGTAGCTTAGCAGTTACAAATGACGAGTGGTCGATCCAATTAAGCCCACAAGATCTAGACCAGACGTACCAGTTCTGGTGTAAACTAGATTTATGAGCAATTAGTTTAAACCTGATGTTTTATCTATTGATTTAAATCGAGTGACTGCTGAAATTGCATCCACATTGAACGCTACTTGTGAATCAACCAAACCCCGAGAATGGGTGGCAATGTCACTTACGTCAGCGACACAAAACACCCAATGGTAGTTTAAACTGAAACTTTACTGCTCCCTCTAAATTTTGAGAGACACAAAAATTTTTACGAAGATTTTAATGGCACAAAGAATAGGCCACCTCCACATCACCAATAACCCCCTAATCAAGCAGCTCTAAGAACCATTGTTTCTCTTCAAACTGACGTTGTTAGCAAATGTCCCGTTGACTTCTGTCTGCGTTAGAAGTACCTTTTTGTCGGGGGTCTTAGTCTATTTCTCTTTTGGGACACGGGAGTGTGGCTAGTGCGAGGGTGCGCGGCAGATCACCACTTGCAGGATGTAATGCAAACCCCGATGAAAATTTCCCCCCCAACAAGGTATTGCGGAAATCAAACAGACAAGCCATCAAGCGAGGCCAAAATAAGAGTCTAACCGAGGTTAATCGCATCAGAAAACAATACTCATTAACAACTAACCCTTGTAGTCTGGATAACTGACTCATTTTTCGTTGACTTCAGAATGTTATCATCATTATCTTCTACACTTTTTCTCTCAAATATAATATTAAACATGCTAGACTACCGGATACGACAGCGGGGCTCGGTGCAGCAGAAGCGCTTGCACACCGAGCACAGCACCCTCACGGCGCCACAGGGGCACCGTTCGGGGCTCATCAGGTGGCGCGCCTGGTGGCAGCGGCAGTGGGGGCACTTGTAGAACATGGTGCTGATCATTGCCTGTTTTGGCGGGGGGAGGGTGTTTGCTGTCTGGCAGCAGAGGCTGGCGTGGGGGGTTTCAGCCTGTTTATATAGTTGGGCGTCGGTGGGTGTCGCAGAGCTGCGTCGCCGTCTTTCGAAACCGACGTCACGCGACGTATTCCTATGTTTTGTTTCAGACAAATACTATTTAAACTCACCAAACTCTAATCTATTTGTTTATTTCGTTATAGCTAGACACACGACAACAACCCGAAAAGCACCACCACCAACGACAAGTCACCAAAGAAGACCCCCAACACCAGCCAGTAGCCCATCGCTTGGGCAATATAGCGCCGGTACCGGTCTACTTGGGGCACAAACATCAGCACCGCATTCAACCCTTTCATGATGATCCCAGAATCGCCTCGAAGGTGGTGGTTGCGCAGCACCACGTACCACGCCAGCATGATCACGACCTCCACCGCGACAAATACCTGGAAAAACCCCAGAATATCGGCGTGGTCCCACTCGTGGCGCACCCGGTCCGTCTGGGCGGCAGAGAAACCGTCGTAGCGGTAGTGGTAGAAGTGGTAGCCGAAATTGGCCAACACCGCGATATACCGCACGATCAAAAACACAAACTTGGTCTTTTTCGCCTGGTAGGCGTGGTACGCGCCGAGTTTGGCCTGGTACTCGATCTCCTCCGGCAGCGCCAGCGGCAGCGGCTGGTTCGGGAAATTGCCGCCCACATCGGGCATCTCTCCTTTCATCATTGCCGAAAACATCTTCAGCATATCGTCGCCACCGCCGTTCTCGCCGTTATAACCAGCGACCCTCAGCATCAATTGCTGGAGCATATCGTCGGGGTTTTCTGGCGGGGGCGCCCCGCCGTCAAAACGGGATATATCGACCACTTCGGGGTCGTCGTCGCCGCTAAGGATATTGGGCGTGGTACTGGTAATGGGGCTGGTGAACTGGGCCAGCGGCGGCTGGGGCGGCGTGTGGACTCCGGTCGCCTCGGCTTGCGGCGGTTGGGGCTTATCGAGCACCAGGGTGACCTTATCGGCTTTCACCAGCAGTCCCAGCCCCAAGATCAGGTTGAGCCGCTCCAGCGCTTTGCCTTGGCCCATCTTGGCCTGGCGCCGCTCGCGCAATATCCGCTTCTTCTCCTCAGCAGTTAACTCAGCCATGGTGGGGAGGGGGATTTGAGTGCGACCGCGATCAATTGTACCGACCAAGGAGAACACTAACGATTGAAACCGAAGCCGTGAAATAGTGAAGTCATTCCTGAAACTTGTACATCCTTTTCGATGATAAAAAAAAAAGTATTAGCTCTAAATTGATGTGAACTAAGAATCAGCTAGGGTGACTTGAATTGGTGCCAGCAGTGAGTAGGTGCCAAGATGAGATTCTATATGACCTAGGGGAAATTTTTGAAAAATTCATAATTTACCAGGTTACTGCTAACATTGAAGACATTAGGTGTTCGATAATGAGCACTAGATCAATTGGAGGCCTACCACATTGATACATATTCGAGTTCAATCAAAACGACATCAATACAGGATTAGTGCTAGCACATCGGTATAAATCAAGTACACCTCAATGACTCAAGAAATACGACAAGACCATTACAATGGACTATCCAAGTGAATTACTAATGTTTCATCAAAATGAAAATCTACAGCTGGATGTCTATCTTTGGATTAATTAAATAGTACAGGCGAATCCGGATTCGCAAGGTCATAAATGATGGAGGAGGAGGTGTGTAGTCGTAAAACGCCGAGATCATCATCGCCGGCCGTTGGCCATGCGGTCGGCAAGCCGCTGGCGGGTTTGTTGAGCGCGGAGCTCGGCGGCTCGGTTCGACCGGGGGCCCTTCCCCGACGGCGGTCGTCGCGGTGGTGCTGATGCTGGCGTCAGAGACGTCAGAGCATGTTGTGGTGTCAGTCCCGGGTGGCGTTTCAGGCGTGATAGACGTTCCCATACGTTTAACGGGCGTTGGCGTTTGGCGGGGAGGGCCAGGGCCAGCTTGGTCGAGGCAGTAATGGTTAAAGGAGGACCTTGAGGAGTAGCAAACACGTCACCATCGCCATTGCTGGTGGGAGTACGCCCTTGGCCACCGTTGGCCCTAAGGTGATCTCGGGTCCTCGGACGCTTTGCTGGCGTCTGAGCCACTCCACTAGTTGTCTGCAATCCAGTGTTGCCCTCATCATTAGTCTGCAACTGTTTATCAGCTCGTAACTGGTCCAATTCAGCCTCAAGCATGGCGTTATCGTGTTCGAGCTGAGCGAGCCGCTGGCGCAACTGGCGCCGCCGCAACTTGCGGGCGTGCACGCGCAAGTCGTCGTCCAGCGGCGTCGCCACAAACTCGGTACAGAACATCAGCATCTCCATCCCATAGAGGAAAGCGGCAAACCCTTCGTTGAAGTCGACGATGCTGTTGTTGACGCGCGCGAGCCGCGCCGCGTGGTGCGCGATCGAGTCCATGGTCCCCGCGAGCCGCTGGAGCTTGTCGGCCACGGGTGGCTCGTCCAACGGGTCCATGCCAGATTTGGGGG